TTATAAATAATATTGTAATAAACCTACCCATAGATTTGGCGGGATCTTCCCGCATAAATATTTGTTACATAAAATGAACATTTTCAATACGTTTTTTCGCGCTCAAGCTTAGAGCCTCCAAAGCTCACCCGCCACCGCATTCGATCAACTGCAGCGTTTAATGTATTTATAATTGCAGTGAAGCGATTAAATACTCGCTTATTATTACTTGCTATTCTATACGTACATAATAATATGTATATTGTATATCGTTATTATATTTTCGATTCCGCACAACTCCGTCCCTAAAACATCACAAAATTTAATCGTTTTTAACAACATATTATTCGTTTAATATAGATTACGATCGGGCCGCATATCGGATGGTTCGTTTGTGTATGTGTGTGCGCGCACGTGTCGTGTGGGTTAGCTGTGGGTGTGAGCTCTGCAGCATAAAACCTTGAATAGTTTAGCTCATCATAGTTCGAAGGTCTGGAAAATGTACCGTGTATGATTTAGACGCGGAGGTTGGACAACGAGACCATCATCATTGGGTCTTAGATGTTAATGGTGTATAACTCTATATAGTGTATTATTGTATTTATGTATACCTGTATATATATATCAGTAGTCCCCATATATGTGTATCTACACACACACACACAGTGGCGTGCGCAGGAATTTGGTATGGGGGGGGGATGTCATAAATAAAAATGTATTATGTTTATGTTGATGAACTAGAGATCCAAAATCCACTCGTTAGAAGACTAAAAAAAAGCCCATGGGGGGGGATATATCCCCCATCATCCCCCCCTGCGCACGCCACTGCACACACACACACACATGTATACGATAAACGTCGAAAGGCCTTTTGTAACGTATTATTATTCGTTTTGTGTAATATTATGCACCTATTTACACCGCCACTACCGTCGTCGTTTGATGCACATTATTATAATGAATAAATCGCAAGTATTGAAATTTTTACACATAATATGAAATCGTTAAACGATATAGTTATATAGTTTAGTGGAATATAAAATATTGTAATAAAAGCGACGTATAGTGKCCGCATAATAACACATCGTAACATTGTGTTTATATTTTATATTATATAGCTTATAWAGTTTGAAATTGTAATCAATTTTGACGTACTCCACATTATCTCATTCCACGTTATATAATGAATATAATATGATTTACGGCGATAGATCCTCGTCTGACGGTMCGTGATAAATATAATGTTTTACTTTTTATGTTTACGATCAATTTGGTTTATACTCCTATGGTAGGCTCTGTTATATAATAAAAAATGATAGATGATTACGGAAAAAACCACACGATCGCATCAGTTTCCGAGTAAATTGTATGTATAGAATATAGATTATAGACAAATTCAGCAAATCAATAGACAATCATAATAATTGTGTACTGTTCACAACACTATGAYGGACACATATCATCTAAATCTACTGTGTACCTATTATACAAAACAAAATTTAACAATTATTTGCGAAAGTGTTACGAAACACGTTTTTGTTCCACACTAAATTTTCCTATAATAATTATACAATATTTATGCATGATATATTCGTATTGTAAACGTCCAGYCGCATTGCATCGCATYATCAATCGAACCATATTATTTGATKATTATCATTCTATGTCGATGCGACTCTCGAGTGTTTAGCGTTTTGTTATTTTATATTTTACATTTAACTTTTTGACGAAACAGTTTAATTGAAATTGACTAGTTTTTAATTATGCATGCAAAAGATTTTTACTGATTTTACCGGAAACTATAGCAGCTGTACAATAACAACAATAATAATATACTGTCCGTAAAGCTATGTCAAGCGGCAGCAGTTAATGCATTACTAATTCAAACAATTATTTATGATCACGTATCCCGAGAACTCGCTTCGACTTCCTCTAAAAAACTAGATTTATTCATTTATTAATAATGATAATAATAAATAACAATCGTCATTATTGTCATATCGTTATTGTTATTATCATTATTATTATTAGACGTTATCGAACTGCTGTGTGTATACCTACTGTATTTTGTATTTTGTACGCAAATGATCGTACAAGAGAAGATTCGCCGTGAATAAAATACGTATATATTTTACACGGGCGTATACTCGCAGTTTTCCGGAGAACAATAAACATGTCAAATAATTTATGAAACACTCGGAAACTTTCTCTGTGTCGCATTGTACATTGCGTGCATTGCAGTTATTGTACTGTTGTTATTATATACGTTTTGAAACGTATCAGCGGTTTGTTTCCAATTATTRTTACCACACGCAATACAAATTAATTTATTTCGGAGGATACGTCGTAAATCACCGGACTCRGCGATTGCCATAACATTGTGCTCTGCTGCAGGACCGTGCAGGTATTCTGTGTGTTTGTAGTGCCTAAAAAATAATGCGCCGAAGCTGTCCAAAACCTAAGACTCGGATTAACATGATAATATTAACGCAAACCAGAGAGAGCTCAACGGACTGTCAGGCAGCAATAATGCCCGGCACACYGAGAACGATGCATCCAAATTGCTATTTTGTCTACTCGGCYGCAGAATATGCGCCTCTTGTATAATATGGATGAACTGTGAGAGCTTACAAATATTAGATCGAAGTTCAATTCAAACAAGTCATATGCGCATCATTAGGACTCGCCACTGTAAAATCGACGCCGACAGACTGACTATCATCTATCTATTTCACCACCTGCGAACATATTCGACTTAAAAAAAGGTTCAAACAAAGAGTGCTCAAAGTATTTCTCTTCCGTATTTCATCAACCAGTGCCTTGGACTGAAATCTAGAAAATCCGTGAAACCATCGACAACTCGCCGTCCTCTGATTGTCTTAACATATAATATCGTGCAGGTATTCTTATTGTAGCTAAATTGCTAAATACCTAAATAATTATTTCACCGAAGATATTATAAATTGGAATGACACTACCCATTCGCAAATTAGGGAGGTAGAAWTGGGGAAGGGGCGTAGCAATTCTCGGTATACTAAAAAAGTAAAAACGTCACATCCTCAGCGCTATAGTGTACTCTCGGTCGCACAATATGCTTCTCCAATATTGGTATAACGGTGAGCTTACAGKACATAGTYAAATTCAATCCATCCATGTGCACTGTCTATACGATATACTGTATAATCGACGCCGACAGATTGCTCTCGGTTCTGTACAATATTTTACCGCCGTAAGCGTTTGRGGTCCTCTTTCAAAAGRASATTATAGAAGAACTCTACGAGACTACGAAACTCGTGACAGGGACCTATATGGAAAATTGACATCCGTCTATTGACACTTAAACCATTATATTTGACAACGTGGGAGATTCACCCTATAAGAAGTATTAATTGTTCATACAGTTTTTAAGACTGCCATGTGACATACTTAAAAAACTGCACCTAGCCTGTTTTTCTCGCATTATACCACGTACCTACGATAATAAATAATAATTATAATCGAAGCAGTTGCCTGATGGCTATGATGTGACGATTTCGGCTTTCATCTGCTTGGCTATAATCATAATATCTACTTGATATTATCTTTTTTTTTGGTATACCGTGGGCTAAAATATTATTCTTATTTTCTTGTTTACTATCATTGTTATTATATATTGCTGCAGTTTATGGTTCTCGTCGTTGTCGTCGTGACGATATTGTTCGTTCCGCTCGTATCGCTGAGATTTGTTTTGTTTTACTAAAACCGTTTATAACACGTGCACAAGAACGCGCATAGTACTACAGTACCTATATATGCATAATATAAATGTGTATTACACAAACAAACCGACGACGGTATCAACAGCACAARCCATTTTATTATGACTTACAATGTCTATATTAGTACCCACTTACTCGTCTGCAAAATAAACACGAAATATTTTCGACAACATTAAACTATACAGGGTGCATGGCTTGGTCGTATTTGGACTATTTTATCCAATAGATATCCAGTTTGCGACATGTTTATTATTTTTTTCGGATATGATAGTAAAATAATTTTAAAAAAAAATTCCCATAGATATTTATAAAATTACTGAAATTCCAATGAATAAAACGAAACAAACACTATTTGATCTGATAAATTAAGATTTTCCACATACGTTGTACGTAATATAAAAATATGACACGAGGTCGTTGTAGCGCGCGTTTCTGTCGAATTCGGTCCTCGTGGCGCATCTGGAAAATATGAGTACTTATGTGACATTACATTTTATTTAAATAAAATATTCCAGTGATAAAAGTTACTACTCCTCCAGAGATAGTCGCACCCTGCAGTGTACGCATCGTATAAGCATAATATTATATTTAACATTTCTAAATGGTATAAAATTCAAAACCACATAAATAAGTGTATGTACGTTTTATATTATTCCCGAGTGGCTGCGTGRCATATATTTACAGCCGAAAGTTTAATCGCTGCGTATCGATAATCGATATGCAATATAGTACTGGCCGAAAACGTTCACGCTCGTAAGACTTCAAATCCCTTTGGTTTTTTTCCACGACAGCTTTTAAATTGTTCGAACACATTGTTAAACTTACTGCTTATTACGTGACGCGCCAGCACAAAAAGGTTCGTTTTAACAATATAATAATATATATAATACGTATAACTGCAATGTGCTTGTGTATGACCTAGTAATATTTCTCTTAAAAACGTGATTCATACACCCAATAAATACAGACAAAATATAATGTTAAAAAGGTCACGTTTAAACCTTTTCGGAAATCAATGTACATTATTATTATTTTAGATTACCTACGTTATTTAATAATATTATTATATTGTATTAGTATTGCGCGCTGTGCCTACTTATATACATATATACATCTGTATATAGAGAGAGTTAGAGAGATATTATAACTGATTTTTTTCGTGTGTACCTATATTATAGACAATTTATAATAATTTATTAACACTTTATCAATGTTTAACTAATAACTAGTAGATAAACTAATAAAAAATATATTTTGTTTCAGGTTTCATCAACTCGAACACTCTACATTCTCTAGCTCACCTACATGGTAAGTGCATTTTTCATTTTTTTTTTTTTTAGAAATAAACCACAGAAATTGAGTATGAACAGTTTTTAACGATTTTACTTTATCTCCGGTTTATTGATAATATCGTAGTATGYCGTATACACGCTCATTATCATCATCATAGCAGGTTTAGCAGTAAATAGATTTTCCAGTTGTAAATCATACTGTTTTTTGACAAGGTCTCAATTATATTATACGTGCTAACGATACAAAATGAACTTCTCTGCCGTCAGTCAAATATAATTATAATTGACACATATTGTCTCTCCTGAAAATCCCTATATATACAAGTTAAACGAATATTGTTCTCCTRTAAATTATAATATTATATAATAATTTATAATATCCATGTACCATCATATCTCAGAGTTTCGTTCTACGCATTTTTCTCCTTCGTTTTATTCGTTTATGCGTCAATTAGCGATTTATTTAAATTATTTTTATTCGTCGCCTTGCATTTTTATTATTATGCGCCGAAGGTCATGTCGATATGATGAAGTATTAATAAACTGTTTTTGACTTACTGACGGGTTCCGCGATGTAGTTTCTGTTCTTTTTATTTGGCTTGGCTTGGTGATAATTTTAATTGGTTTTAATACGTGGCAAAATATTTTTATGAAACTCTTGAAACTCTTGAAACTATTGAGAGATTTAATTAAATCAAATTAGAAACACATTCGTATATTGTTTTAATAATGTGTTTTTAATTGGTCATAGGTATARAGAATTTAGCTATTTCAATATACCTTATATTCATCATTATTTATGATAGATACAATATATAATTATTATTAATAGCTTGTGTTTGCTATATCATTATTAGTACCAATAACATTTATCGCAATAGCATATTATTTAATATTCATTTGAATTTTACCTACCAATATGGCAATATATGTATTATCAGTTTTATTCGATGGTACTTGAAATTATTTAAAACTGCAATTTCAAAAATATTAAACTGGCTTTTTTTAAAGCTATTATTAGTCTTATTGATAGTTAATGTATATTGAATGCTTTATGAATCATTAATTTTATTACATTATAGTTTAAATAGCTTATTTATGTATACATTATTTATCCAATAGKGTTTCGTCGTTAATTGCATTGCATGTTCATCTTATCAGTTTCTGAAATATAGGTACAAGTACTTATGCTATTCAGGTCATTACTGCTTATTTTTTTGCTAGAGTTAAAACATAAAAAATAACCCAAAGCTAGGTATTATTTAGGTACCAGCTATTATATAATACCTACATATAGCTTAACAAAAATGTATTTTGCGTATACTTTCTTTACTGTAAATGCCTTTTATATATTTCTTTACGTATAACTCGTATTTTACCAAGTTGAAAATTTGTGACAAGCATGACATTTTTTCACATCTACAACGACTAYGAAAATCTGCTTACGTTAAGAAAATCTTTATCCATTGCAAAATGTATTATGTATAGGCTTGTCAAGCACCACTCCTCCGCTGTATCTAAATACCTTATGCATACATGAAAAAATCTTTACCGAAAAGATTTTCATGATTTTTGACGTGAACAGCAACGTGATTCCGAACTGAAGTTTACATTTCGTAGTTATTAATTTTTACTGAGTAAAGTTAAATGATGCTTWAAATTTAATTATATATATAATCGTTTAAAGCGCCAAATAAACACATAGCAATAATAATTAAAAACAGTGTTATTATTTGTATATTTCTGTAAATTAATAGTAACAGAATACAGCTTTAATATAATCACTTTTTATATTACTTTTTTTTTTAATTTTTATTGTTTACTTTTAAAGAGTTCAAATTATTATTTAATCATCATTTTGAGTGTATAAGCATGATGTAGACGTTAATTTTAATTTTATAAATATTTTATGATGCTTGTGTCTCTAATGGGGATTTTAACCGATGTTGATTTTGTTTTTCAGGTATCTAAATAATTATGTTTAGGTACCTTCCACTTGATCATTATGACTWTATGTTTTTTTAATTTTATAATAAACCTTAAGTCGTTATTGTTTTAATTACATACGATTAGAGTTTTTTTTTTTACTAATAATTATGTGTTTCGTGTATTATTGTTCCGTCGCGCTCGGCTAGATTGTTTTATATAATATACGAAATAATTGGATAATCACTTATTTCATTTCCCTGCGAATTGTATGCGCCTTACGTGGAGACTGTTGTCGTATTAAAATATAATGAAACGCAATGCGTGTATATGTCCTTCGACGATTTTATCACCTAAACTTATGCAAATTAATGGCAATAGTTAATCAGGTGTATACATTTAATATCGTGTGCAGCATCTGAACGTTTGTTCGTGCAGTGACCGTTGCGAAGTCATAGGTAGTATAGTTGTGAGGTCCCATCCGTCGCCTTAACGCATAACACATAACACATTAATACACGCGTGTTATRTAATGTAATAATAGATACTTTGATCAAATTATTTGTTCGTAAAATAGACTTAACATACCCTCTGAAACATCCCATTCGACGATCCCAGATGTGCAGGCGCTGAGAGTTTCAAAACGGAATAACATGATTGTATATTATACATTCGATTACCGTCGTCCGACAACAGTTTTCCGACGTCGTCATTTATTTAGATGTATTTCCACGGACCGACCAAACCAGGCCGCGGCACGCACGCGACTTTTTGAATCAATCTCTTTTTGACCCGTCGCATTCTCTCGGCCGACAAAACACTTTTCCTCAAACAGCGCATACAAAACTCGCATATAATATGTGTGTGTGACGAAAAGACGAATAAATCTGGGAAAACGTCGCCCGTCTTGCATTATTCATTTTTTTCCCTCCCCCCTCGCTCGWCGGTGGCGGAAACCCCTCTTCATACCCATCCACGAGTCATTCGACTGATCCCTGSGAACGCGACTTCGATTTTCTAACGAACCTCCTCCGCCGGCTACAGCTCTCCTGTGTTCGTCGCCGTCGGTTTTAAATAACATTCCGAATTTCCATCGCTAAAAAAATACAAAATAAATATAGACATCGATATTATTACGGTTGCGTTAAAACGCAGCTATAGACCCCGCAGACGGCTTTGTTGGAGTGTATTATATCTATGTATATTATGAGCGCACTGACACGCCACCCCGTCGCCGCCCGCTCCGTCCCGACCGTTTTATTTAATATGTATATGTCATTATTATTATAAATTTTATAACGATTGCCGTTTCACAGCCGTTTAGTTACGGTCAAAGTGGTTAATCAACCGTCGTGAATGAATTGATTATACCGCGGGGTTTTAACGGCCGTGCTCKTACCCATGTTGGAATAATAAAATAATATTATGCATACAATAACGCGTTATATTATTATTATAATATTTCCACGGGACGACGACAGCGCACAGCTAGTGTAGCGTAGTAACAGCGGTGCTACGCGAAACCGAACTGGTCGCCATGACGTGATGTATGTATTATTTTTTATCATAATAATTTACATTGTGTGTGAAATATAGAATATTATAGCGCATACTAAATTATTATGTCACCGAAAACAACGGCTACACGGCGTTACCACGAGTATCCGTCGTAATTAAAACCCGCAATCGGAAATCATAATAATATAYAATATTATGTGTGTGGTATAACTATTAATAATATATACATCATAATAATATACTGTACAGCTATGTAGAGCTGTCCTGTACGGGCGCCAACGACCCATCGGACCCCGTAGCCGTTGAACTGTGTTGTCGTCGTGTGTAAATAATAAATTACAATAATAATAAATTATGTTCCATAATACATAGTGTTCCATCATGTATGATCAATATTTTTCCTTCGTCTAATTAACATTGATAAACATCGCCGTAATGACATCCGAAATATTTATGTATACACACCTGGAGAAGGAAYACTTCCTGCCTCGCGCACACTTTTAATTTCCGTTTGTCGTGAAACTCTTTAGGCAAAAAAATATCCAGTGGCAAACTTTTACCAAAAACAGTTTCAATTAACATAAAATGTGTTTTTTTTTTTTTTATTTTGTATTGGGGATTCGTTGTTTTTATAAGTAAAAAAATCTGTCCCGTGAAACTCTTTTTAGATTACAATATTTCAAAGAAGATGCATTTATATACTAATATACAATCTTCGTCGTTAATTAACTACGTAGGTACCGTCTATATTTTATTCAACTGCTTTGTTACCCATTTTAATTAGATTTAATTAAATATATATACGACATAGGTACCTTAAATTACAAATCACAATATTCTACACGGTCATGGCTATTTGGGCTATGTTGGTATTATTATATAATTAATATTAATTTATTAAAGTTGTACGGAACATTTTTATACAAAAAAATTCTGAGCAAGTACCTGTTATGATAAGTAGACGATAGATTAAAATATAAAATAATATCTGTTTTACATTGTATGTAAAACCATTATTAAGGAATAAGCGACTGTTATCCTTAGTACATAAAGCTTTAATGACTGGAAAATATTTGTTTGAATTTCAATTGATTTATTAAAATTGTCCCAAAAAAAAAATAAAAATATCTACCTATCTGCTTAATAATTTTTAGTAAAAATGTAGTTCGTATCGCCACAAGACACTTCTTAAATGGTATTTAAATACCTGCACTTAAAAATCCGACAACCACGATAGA